TTAGTTCTGTGTCAGCCTGGAGATCCTCCTGTGAGCCCTTCTTTGCCAGGTCTCCTTTTTCATCTCTCAGTTACCATCCTCTCTGGTCTATATTTCTAGCTCCTGTATATCTGGACCACCACCACGTGTCAGCTGTCTGTCATCTGTCTCTTATTCCTTCAGTTCTGTCTTTTATTCCTTCAGTTCTGTTCTCTAATTCTGGCATCTTCTACATACTCCATAAAGGCAGCAAGATGCGGAGCAAGAAAGGGCTTCACAGCACAAAGACCATGGTCTGTTCCCTGCCTCTCCCTTTGCCTGACTATGTGAGAGCATGACCTAGGTATTGACCCAGTCCCGCTTTCCTTTCTGTAATTATTCCCTCCCAGAGGGCAAACCTTCATTCTCATTCTATGATCTCCATAGGTATGTGTGAGCTCCCATGACAAGACTAAACAACTTTCAGAATCTTTAGACTTAGAATTTTAGCTATGAATAGTAAAACAATACAAAGTTATAAGCACTGGGTGCCAGTGACTCAGAAGGCTGAGATCTGAGGATCTCAGTTCTAAGCTAGCCGGGCAAAAAGTCTATGAGACTCTTATTCCCAGTTAACCACCAGAAAACTGGAAGTGGTGCTGTGGCTCAAAGTGGTAGAGCTTTAGCCTTAAGTGAAAAAGCTCAGTGGCAGCACCCAGGCCCAGAGTTCAAGCCCCAAGATAAAAAATAATAATAATTACAAGCAATAGCCTAGGTTTTCAACATTCTCTAAGATGGGGAGTAATTTGACCAGCAGACTTTGAAGAAATTGTTTGTTAGTAACTTAGTAATATATTTCTCTTGGAAAAAAAAAGTAGCTTCGGTAGTTTGACCTTAGCCCCCAGTTTTAGACACTGAATATGTATAATAAATCACCCTTTAAATAAATAAAATGTAATATCCTCTAAGGCAGAGGAGGGCAAATTTTTACTACCAGGGCCATGTAGTAAATATTTTAGGGATGATAGATCATGTGGTCTCTGCCACCATCAGCCAACTGCTCTTACATAACATAATACTCAAATGAGCATAAAATGCATTCTAATAAAACTTCATTTATACAAGTAGACAAGCTATGCTTGGCCCAGAGATTTTAGTTTGCTGACCTCTGTTCTTAAGCAATGATTGGAGACTGAAGTGACCAGCAGTGACTGAGAACATTATAATCTTCAATTGGATGGCATGTTTCCAGTAACTTGTCTAAGATTCTGAAAATATGAAAGTTTTTTTAAGTGATGGAGATTATGGTAAAGGGGATCTCTTTTGATTTGTACAAGTTCTCTCAACTGGAAAAAAGTAACCTATTGACACCAGATTTATGAATCTAGGACCAAGTAGTCCTTGGAAGTAGATTTGGACTCTATGGGTATTCTGGCAATTGGTAGTCCCTATCCTGATTTCCCATGGCTGGGCCACTGGAAGCATGACCTGGAGCATTTAGAAAGCCTGGGGAAATTGGAGCCACAAATGCCCTTCATTAAGTGCCCACTCCATCACAAATTGGTCACTGCCATCCCCACCTCACAGAATGAGTGACATTTTAGTCACAAGACATGGGTACTTTGCCAGCATCACACAGGATCAGAGGGTTACACTGCACTCCCCTGTGCCACAAAACTGCCCTCAACACAATACCCACAGCTTTCCCCTGAGCCACTCACCTATTCTCAGCTTCAGATCCACAGGGGGGCATTACCTCTTCTTCCTCCACCATCTCTATTTAGGAGCTCTGATGTCTAAAAACACAAACAATACATGCGCTGGAGCCAATCCCTGCTGTGTATCAGGCACAAAGCTTTCACAGTGTTATAAAATGTATTTTCCTTTTCCAGAACTACACTGTGAAGAGTTAAGAAAATGGAAGCTTTCAGTCTGTGTGTATATGCTGTATATGAAATACAAATGCGTTTCATGCTTAGCCTTGGCCTGAAGATTTCTCATTCTATATGTGTAAATATTCCCACATCTGAAAAGTCCTAGAATCCAAAACACTTCTGATTCTAAGCATTTTGGATAAGGGGTTGTCTCATGCTGCCTGAGTTTGTTCAAAGATTCCAATAAAAGTGGGTGTTAGTAGACAGGTGATCTGAGGTGTCTATGTAATTCTTCTTTAACTTTCATCTCGTGTGTGTGTGTGTGTGTGTGTGTGTGTGTGTGTGTGCGCGCACGCACATGCATGTGTGGGCATGTGCACATGTACATTGCTATTGAGACTTGAACTAAGGGCCTGATGTACTTGATTAGCTCTTTTGCTGCTCAATGCTGACACTCTACCATTTGAGCCACACCTGCACTTCTGGCCTTTTGTTGGTTAATTGGAGATAAGAGTCTCACAGATTTTCCTATCTAGATGGACTTTGAAGTGTGACCCTCAGATCTCAGTCTCCTGAGTAGCTAGGATTGTAGGTGTGCGCCACAGGCAGTCCATTCATCTCTTACTTTTTAAGTTGAAGTCTATTAAATACAATACAGATTTTTCTCTCTTCACTTTTACTAAACTTGTGTCTTTTTTTGTACCAAATCAATATTTTTGTGGTATCAGCTGCTGAGTGCGTGGTAGTAATTGAATTATAGGTCCCATTTATCTGACAAAATTGCCTTTGTTGTCTATACTCCAATAGAGATGGAGGCTCCAGAGAGCAGCAAGACCTCCAGGGAAAAGGGCAACCTCTAGCTTGAGTGTGAACCTGTATAAAAAGGAAGGCTGCATGGGGAAAGGGCAGACAGAGGTGTTGTTGATATAAAGCTGCTCCTGAGGGTAGATTTATGTAAGAACTTATGGGACCCTAGGCCCCTGGATTCCCCAAAGCAGTATTTAGACAAACTCTCAAAGCCTCTAATCGTGGCTTCTTGGTAGAAAACAATGCTTCAGTCTTTATTAGATTTATGGTAAGCCTATATAATACTCATTCTCAACTGTGATTAACTGATACCCTTAATAGACAGCAAACACTGGGATTCTAATCTTTCTCTCTGGTTTGCATTGTGTAAACCAGTCTTCTCATTAAAATTAAGCATCCATACGGAGTTACACAGTAGAAACAACCACATCCTTCAAAAGCTCTGTCTCTGACAAAATGCCTACCAAAGGGTGTTTTAAAGAGAATTTAAAACCCACTATTATTTGGAAAATATTCTATACACTTTATATAAAAAATGACTAAAATGGATAAACATTGCTCTTGAAGCTTTCTTCTGTCTGATTTGCTGTCTTTCTTGAAGAGGACTTAATTTGTTATATTTTGAAAAAGTCTATTAATGAAAGATTTGTTCTAGTTGTAGTAGCTAAAACTTTGATTGTTTCCTAAAAACTAAATTGTAAATGAAACTATAAGCTAAGGAATTAGAGTGCTGTGAAGTTGACTCCATAGCTCAGAAGGCTAGATAAAATTTTGCGATCATGACCATGTTAATAAGAATTTGGCCCCCAAATGGCAGTAATTAAGAAAAAAATAAGATTTGGCTTGAAATAGCTTATGCATAATAGAATGAGTTGGAAATATGGTAAAAAGACATGCTTAATCTTCTGTAAAATAACAGCTCTTTTTCAAGTATTTGTTATGCATGAGAACTTATGTACAAAGCACCTTACATATATTATTTTGACTTGTTGTGAACTCAGTGGCCTTATTATCCTTACTTACTTATGAAGATAAAAAAAATGAGGTAAGGATTTGTAAAGGTCAGGTTTTTTTGCTGGAGGTCAAAAGGCTAAGAAGCAGCAGAGACAATATTTTCCAGGTCATTTGCCCAGGGAACCTGAACTAAACATGGCTTGTGACAACAATTTAAAGCATTAAAGGGATTGGCAACAAACACATGTTTAGGTTAAATATAAAAATGGCTGCATGTACTAAACCTAAAAGGTCAGCCATATCGTAATCGTAGTTAATACCATAATAAAGAAAGTCTGTTCAGAATAAAGAAAAAGACATTTGCCCTAAAAGCAGTATGGTATGCTCACGGTGCTTCTACATGATTAAAAATGAATGTAACATCTTTAAAGAGTAGAAATTTAAGAAATGATAAGCTCTAAAGTATCCTATAAGCTTTGTTTTGGCCTGCAAGTTGGTGTTCCTACATCTTGCTTGAATTTACTGTCTAAACAACTGCAATGATTGGCCCCTTCTGAAGCTCATGATAAAACTTAATCTCTGTTGTGGACTGTTAAGAGGGTAGAAATTAGCTGGATGTTAGTGACTCATTCCTGTAAATCCTAGCTATTCAGGTTGAGATCTGAGGATCTCAGTTTGAAGCCAGCCTGGGCAGGAAAGTTCACAAGACTATCACCAACTAACTAGCAAAAAGCCAGAAGTAGAAATATGGCTCAAGTGATAGAGCTCTAGCCTTGAGTGAGAAAGCTAAGCTAGAGTCTGAAGTCCTGAGTTCAAATTCTGTTATCACCACACATACTCATAGACAAGAAAAGAGAATGCAAATTTGATGTGACTATCACGTTAAGGGGTGAGGTCTTCAAGGAACAACTAGGATTAGATAAATGCATTGGTGAGGGATCCTTCCTCCCTATCCCCTGGTAGCTTTGCAAGAAGAGAAAAGGAGACCAGAACACACGCATGCTTCTGTGACACACACACACACACACACACACCTTTAATTCATCAGGACGCTGCTGGAAGAGAGGTCATTGTCCCATGTGGCTCCTCAACCTTGAACCAGAGCTATATGAGTCCAGATAACTTCTTTACAAACCCTCTAGCTGGAGGTGCTGTGTTGTCCCTAACAGAAAACAGGTGAAATCACCTGAAGACTTATTTATCTGTTTTATTTGTACCCATGACAAATCTGAGCATCAAAGAAGTTAGGAAAATCAACCGCCATCATGCTTGTTAGTAACAGAGATGGAATGCAAACCTATGTTGTAGGATCTCAGGCAAATGCACTCTTTCCCTCCTTCACCCACAAACGAAGAATGTGAACACAAAGAGTCAGTGAAATCTCACCATTTCTCTTTCTTCTCCCAGGTCGCTATCCCCAGGAGAACAAAGGCACCTACATCCCCGTGCCTATAGTCTCAGAGTTCCAAAGTGGCAAATGGGGAGCCAAGGTTATCATGAACGAGGACAGGTCTGTCCGGCTGTCCATCCAGTCTTCCCCTGAGTGCATTGTGGGGAAATTCCGCATGTATGTTGCTGTCTGGACGCCCTACGGTATCCTCCGTACCCCCCGGAACCAAGAGACAGATACGTACATTCTCTTCAATCCCTGGTGTGAAGGTAAGGGGCAAGCATTGCATTTGCTCACTTTAGTTCACAGGATGGCAATGCAGCTCTTGGGGGGAGGGCGGGGTGCAGTGCTATTCTAACAGAATGAGCTCGTGCTTTCGACTTGCACATGTGGGTATAAAACCTGGATATGAGAACTTAATGCTGCTATGTACTTATTCCAGGAATGAATTAAAGACTACTAAGTCGCACAGTTGAGTTCAGGGTGGAAGTGCAACCTCTGTGTTACTGCTTTGTAAACATAATGGATATCCTTTTTAAATTTTTGAACATGTTTATTATCATTGGTTGTACAAAGGAGTTGCTATTCACTGAAGCAGTTTATGAATACAGTGCATCTTCATCCATGCCAGCCCTTTTAACATTCTCACCCACACCTCCAACCAACCCCTCCCCTTACTTATTCTAATTTTAGGTTATATATGGATTTTTTTGCCATTTAACAAAGCAGTTTAATGTGTAAAATACTTCTTGATCTGTGCCACTACTTCAACATCTTCAGCCACTTTTGATCCACCCTTTCCCTTACATTTCTCAATTCTGTGGTACATACAATTAATTCTGCCCTGCATTCTCTGCCCTTTTCCTCTTCATTCTTTTCCTCTTCATTCTTTTACCCTTCTCCCCTTAGTCCCACTCTCTCCCCATTTCCTTGTACTTATTTTGTTAGGCTTCTTCAACTTGTCTTGCAGCAGGCTTATCTGCCTATGAGCCAATGTTCAAATTGATGTGAGCAGATGTGGACTCCTGTTCCATGAAACTCATCAATTCAGCATTAGACATTTTGTGACTGGTTGGTGTGGTACAGGGTTACAGATGCTTTTTACAGAGACAAACTAATATTTCAAAAATATTGAATTGGAGATGAGTATACATACCAAGGAGAAGTTGCAATTAAGAATATGGATCTTGTCAGAATCAGGGATGTGAAATTGAGAGTTACCTTGGCTAAGAAGGAAATATAGATATAGAAGGAAATAAGGTAGCCTAGTCTAGTAGTAGACCTAGCAAAGAAGAGTGACATAGAAGAACATGTAGGATGTGGTCTAAGAAAATTTTATTTTAAAAATTTATACTTAAAAAAGTTGGAAACATTCAGGAGTTTCTTGTTGACTTCCCTTGCATTACCAAAAGGAAGTAGCAGACATCATATATTTCTCCAGCACTGTAGAGTATGATTTTCTCCTACTTTATTTTATCCATAGCTTTTTTCTGGATTCATAATTTCCTAGAGAACAGATCTCTAAGCATGTCAGTGGATGCGATCACTCTTCCTGCAATGAAGAGTGTGACATATTTGTTTTACACGAAAACTACCAGAGTAGAAGGAGGCAATCCAATAATTAGATGCTGTGGTACATTAAATGCCTTAGATGCTGTGGTACATTGGAATGACTTCCCTTTGCTATTTCTACATAGAAAAAAGAAGGTGAGGCTAAAACCAGAGACCGAGTTGTGAGCTGTGGTCCAAGACAAGAACAATGACACTCTGCATGATGGTGGTAGCAATGGAGTTGGGGAGAAGAGGATGGATGGGACATGTATTTTGGATTTAGAAAAGAAGTTGCACAGAGATTAAAGAAGAAAGATGAAGATGGGGGAGGGATTAAGAATAACTCCAGGTTGTCTGGTTTGGGCAGCTGAGGTGGTGGTGGGGGGGAGGGGAGTTCAGTTTAGAAGCATGACAGGAAGTCTCCTGCTCTCTTGAATAGAGGGAAAATAGTTACTAGTCCCTTAATTCCTTGGCCTTTGGAAATCTTAACATTTCTGCAAAATTGCTCCTCATGGCATCTCTGCCTCTAGGAATCTTCTTTCCTCCACTATTTACCCTGTGACACCACAAATGAGAAAATTGACCTTCTTCAATTGAAGCATTGTCAGCAGCAATAAGTCACACAAACCATCTGCACATGTCTAGACCTCAGCAGCAGTCCAGTGTGGGAGTGAGACCTAAAGGGTGTCCTTGGTGGTACTCAAGCTTAGTGAATGTGCAGGATTACTTAAGACTTCTTTGCAGCACCTTTGACTTGGTGGGTTTGGGTCAAACCTGAGGATTAGCATTTCTAATCATTCCTAGGATAGGCTTAGGTTATGAAGTGGAAAAAAATTCAGAGAAAGATTGACATACGTAATAAGCTCAAAATAAGAGTAACGAAACACAGAACTGGACATCGGTAGCTCATGCCTGTAATCCTAAGTACTCAGGAAGTTGTGATCTGAGGATCATAGTTCACAGCTAGTTTGGGCAGGAGTCTGTAAGACTCTTCTCTCCAATTAGCCACAAAAAGCCAGAAGTAGAGCGATGGCTCAAGTGGTAGAGTGCTAGCTTTGAGCACAAAAGTTCAGTGACAACACTCAGCACCTGAGTTCAAACGACAGGACCAGCACACGCACACACACACACACACACACACACGTGCACACACACACACGCACACACACACATACACACACACACACACACACACGGCACTATAATTTATTCTCCTCCTTAAAACTTCACTAGCTCCTCTGTGATTCTAATCCCAGATTTTCTTCTCTCTGTTTCTTCACTCTTTTTCAGTAGAAAAGTCTCTTTTCTCATATACGAGGATACTGCAAGCTTTATAAATTTTGTTGGTGTCTTCCAACAACCCTACATTGAGAGACTGTACCTGTTTGAAGACTATTCCCCCAAGAAAAAAGTCTAGTTCCTGCTTTAAAAAAATACCTTTTAACCTTCTTATCTTAATGCACACTGAGCTTCTGTGGAAGGTGTATGAAGTGGGAGAATTATTTCTCTTATTGTGTGGACTTTCTCACCTAGCAACTAAGGCATAATCCTAAAAGGAGATCAACACAACTAGATATACTGCAGCCTGATCATCATCACAGTGCTGTGTTTGCAGATGCTAATATATAACAAGGGATTTGTTGAGCAACTAGAAAGTAGGTCCAAAGAGAGGTGGGACCATTGATCAGGTGGTAAAGGTCACACAGAAAAGGGGACAGTGTCCATCCAGGTTATCAAAAAAGAGCTAGGTGGATCAAGATCCCGGGAACACTGCTTAGCACATGTACAGGTCAAGGGAGCAATGGACACTGGATGGAAAGTTCCACCACAGAATGTATTATTGATGAGGAGTTTTCAGCTCTGTTTCTGGGGGCTCTTCAGCCTGCTTTGCATTCACAGGCAATTCATCCTTCTTAATTGCTAAATCACTAATGAAAATCAATTGCATCTCCAGTATGTCCTCCACCCAGGGTCCTTGAAGGGAGAATTGTGCTAACTGCTTCATGCTGTGAGGAACCCCTTCTCCAGGGGTATAGAGATGGAATTGCACCCACAGAGGCAACAGGAATGAGTTGGACATGTATTATAACATCTATCCTGTTTCTCTCAACACTAAGGACCTCTAATTTATCAAATGTATTATTTATTGAGTTTTTACCAAACTGAACTCATTCTTAGTGTGACACAGATATTAGAGTTCTGAGATATTTAGATTTCTGATGGCTTTGCCTGGTACACTGAGGCACTGGTAAGCCGTAATGTTTAGGTGGGGTCTTGCTCTTCCCAAGCACTTGTGACTCTTCTGTATTCCTCATCGCTGAAGTCTCCCATCATCCAACTTTATATCCCATGATCTTGCCAAGTACCTGGCATATACTTGCTCCTGTTTTGTGAATTGATTTTACAATCCCAAGTAAATTTCTTTTAAGGTACTTTATACCCTACTATAACAGAGAAGTGATCAATGTAATTCTGAGACTTTCTATCTTGAAAAGTGTTAATTTGGGGTAGTATGCTTGTGAGTGATGGGTGTGTAGGTTTCTATCAGCCTCTAATACTAAGTTAGCATTTAGTGTTCTTTCTTTCTTTCTTTCTTTCTTTCTTTCTTTCTTTCTTCTTTCTTTCTTTCTTTCTTTCTTTCTTTCTTTCTTTCTTTCTTTCTTTCTTTCTTTCTTTCTTTCTTTCTTTTGTCGGTCCTGGGGCTTGAACTCTGGGCCTGGGCGTTTTCCCTGCGCTCTTCAGTTCAAGGCAAGCACTCTACTACATGAGCCATAGTACCACTTTCAGTTTTCTAGTGGTTTATTGGAGATAAGAGTCTCAGGGACTTTCCTTGCCCAGGCTGGCTTTGAACCGTGATCCTCAGATCTCAGCCTCCTGAGTAGCTAGGATTACAGGCGTGAGCCACCGGTGCCTGACTTAGTGTTCTTTTTTTTTTTGGTCAGTCTTGGGGCTTGAACTCTGGGCCTGGGTGCTGTCCTTCAACTCTTGAGCTCAAGGCTAATGCTCTACCATTTGAGCCACAGTGCCACTTCCAGTTTTCTAGGGGTTTATTGGAGATAAGAGTCTCATGGACTTTCCTTGCCTGGGCTGGCTTTGAACTGTGATCCTCAGATCTCAGCCTCCTGAGTAGCTAGGATTACAGGCATGAGCCACCAGCGCCTGGCCCGGCTTAGTGTTCTTAACTTTTCTTATTCAGTGTACTTTTTGCATTTTATTTTAAACATAATCCTTTTTGCATTTTCTTTGAATGTAAGAAACCATTACATTTTCAATATCTTAGATGGCCTTAATAAAGACATGTGGCCAATATATGCTGGATTATTAAATTCATCCATAGACTATTTACCTTGTAATACCCATGTTCATGTAGACACTTCAGTAGGATCAAATCCACATTGACTGGTATCCTCCAAGTTGCAATGGTCAACATTCCCATGTTAGAGATGCCCATGAGTCCAGTCTTGAATTTACACCCTTAGGCTAGAGCCATTCATCATCCATCCACACATATTCATGGTCTGTTTTTCACCATGGTCATGGCAACACAAATTGCCCATGCAAAGTACAACATCATTACTTATTTAGTCATAAATATTCAGAGTCAATGCTGAATCCATCACTGGGTTATGGCAATGAAAACGATAGACACATTTATTTGGCCCTCACAGGGCTGCTAATAAGGATTTTTACAAATGAGCTGCTCATAAAATTTAATTAT